GAGAGAGAGAGAGAGAGAGAGAGAGAGAGAGAGAGAGAGAGAGAGAGAGAGAGAGAGAGAGAGAGAGAGAGAGAGCGAAACGTGCCTTGCCTTTCGCAGGCGCGGCCACACACCTTCGAGATCGGCCAATGGGCTACGAGCCCGTTGTGACCTTCTATACCTTTACTCCCGTACGTTCACCTGTCCCTTCCGGGCCACCATAATATTATTTTGCTTGAGTTAAAAATGTCGATTTTTTTTGCACGCGCACACTGCGCGCATGCACTCTCCTACGCGAGAAAGTCGGCGAGAGTCACGCTTTCCCGCTCGCGCAACTTCAACGACGACGCGACGCAGAAAAAATATTCGGGCGCTAAGAGATCGCCGTTCGTTCGCCATTCAAATTATCTGACTGTTTCTGCGGTAAGTGTCAATAAAATAGGTCAATGGAACTCAGTGGGCGCATTCGCGCAGCTGCATTCGTGATCCATCCACCGCACCAACGCGGAACACGATCTGCGTGAGAATCGCGTGTAAAAACAATCCGTGTGAAAAATACGAAACTTTATATCGCTTGTTGGACTTGACGCAAATATGAGCGATTGCTGCGTGACAAAAAGAGCAAAATTATTCGCGAAAGAGCAAAATTATTCGCGTGACATCCGGGAGAGAGATTTATTAGAACATAATGGAATTCCCATCTGCGTGCTCGCTGGAGCAAACAACTTTTACGACAAGGTGGCGAATGCTTTCGCGTATCGTGTAACCTGCCATTATATCGTTAGACTCGTTCTTGCCACTTTTTCACATGGTACTGGAAACTAGACAAATATGACTTCGTGCCTCTCTCGTGGGAATGGGAGAGGAAGGGGAGAGAGACGAGTGAGAGAGAGGAAACATAAGAGAGTGTAGAAAGTGCGGCTCTTCAGCCGCGGCTTTTTTGTCACGTGTCTGTCGGCGATCATTAATTAACAATAACGGAAGTAACAAATCAATTCGATTAATATGCATTTCGTTGTATCACACGCTTCCTCATCGTTATGTTGCATTTTTGAATCTACATAATTTATAGCGCGCCAATATATTATCGCGCCCGGTAATTGGGAAAGAGGCGAAATAAGTCGGTTTTATTTACATACATATGACGTCGCGCACACGCGTTCGTAAAAATACTAATATTGCAGAAATAAGGACAGACGAAATTCCGCGGCACAGAAAGAGATGTGAGATGATACTGTCAACAGAACCAGATCAACACGTGGTCGTGTACAGAGCTCGTGGTCGTGTACAGACGCTACACAGTTTTGTTTTTCGTTTAAAACCTTATCTATTACACACTTTTTTATTTCTATTTTTCTCTTTTATCTCTTTGACTTAAACCTTAAGCTTTTAGCTAAAGATTAAGATAGAGAGCAAACATTTAGTAAAGAGCACATCTTTATCTAGTTGTTCCTAGTTTAAAATGCTTCTTGAATATTTACTATATTTCTTGAAAAAGATAGATATTTTATATATATTTCTCTGTTGTGGCTAGCAATATAATAAGGACCGTCCCATTAAAAATTTAATATAAAGTTATACATTAAAATCATCAAATCGAGATACATATATTAGATATGTACTAGTACGTGACATAGTATAACTACGCTCCGTTTTTTACGCTCCGTTTTTATGTAAGCAGAGTTCGATAAATATTTATGCGCGCTAATAGACAAAGCTAATAGACAAAGCTAATTTTTTTATTGTTGAGCAGGAAGTTGGCATTATCGCCAGTCCTTTTATTGTAAATGAGTTTTCAATGAGTTACTTTGCCACTAGCAAAAATTTATATTCTTATTATATATCGCAATTTTTAAATAACTTAATTATTAAATATATTGTTTATTAAAATAATAAAGTATAGTAAAGTATATAATTAAATTTTTTAAAGAGAGAGTGGTGAAATATATATACATATATAAAGTTTGTGTGTGTGTGTGTGTGTGTGTGTGTGTAAAGCTTGAACCATTGCTCATTATTTGTTAAAAAGTTATTAACTAAAGAATTTTATTTTTTTGTCAAACTTTTATTAAAGTTCTTTTTTAAACAACTGTTTACTGAACAATAGGCTCAAACTATTTGCTTCGCATAACGTATGTCGTTAACTTCTGAGGAGGTTGACCTTATATATGTGTGAATATTAACCACGATAATAATAATAAAACTTGCATAAATAACTAGACTTGTATAGTTGTATTATGTTTAAAAAAATTGCTACTACATCTACTGCTACTTCGTCTACTATAGTTATGTGGCTTCTTGGACTTGTAAAGATTAATAATGTTTAAACGATTTATCGAAATTTTATTGTTTATTTTAAACAGAAAATATGATGGAACAGTTTTAGCTCGAAAACTATCAACCGAAAGTTTTATTTAACATTTGCTGATTAATATCTAAATATTAAAATTAATACGTAATATTTACGCGTAATACGTAATAACTTCGCGTTTGACATATTAAACATTCAGGTTTTTATAAATTACTTTTTCTAATCAATTATTAATCAATAAATTTAATCAGCTTATGTAATTTTCATTGTTAGTAAACAACTTCTTTCTACGTGGAAAATGTATTTGTAACTCTGATCTCGTCACGAAATGCTCTTTGATCGCGCGTATGATACGATGCAGTCTGTACAATCATTTCGCGTAACTCCGTGCTTTCTGCTGAATCATGTTTGTTTGTAACACGTGCGTGATATAAAAGAAGGGCTCGAGTATTTCTGAGAAACAGAGAGAGAGGAAGAATACAAAGCCGCGATGTGCGATAAAAATGTATTACGCAACACACCTACAACTACCGGTCTGAAACGTAAACAGGCAGTTGTTAATACAGGATATAGTTACGTTACGTCATCATCATTTAGAATCATGTCGCATCAGTGATGCCAAAATATATACTACTGTGATAATAGAATGTGCGCGATAAGTGTCGCAATGTTTCTCCTTGAGCAAGTTTATCCTTAAAGAAACGGGGAAAAAAAATGAAAGAGGAAAAGAAAATTGTTAAATTTGCAAGTCGAGCAATAATTAAAAACTGTTTTGCAGAAATTGTAAACAATGTAAATTCGAATTATCGCCAGTCACATTCGTGAATTGCACAAAACACGTGCGTTTCTGAAGACATTTTCAGATATAATCCAATTCCTGTCGTATTGGATAACGCTTATAATAATCTTATAATATGTCTACTTGCAATACCTTGTATTATTTCGAGGGAATTAAAATATCCGGAACAGTAGATCCCGTTACTATTTTTCCTGGGTCAAAGTCCGCTCCTTGAAACGAGATTTTCTTACTAGAACGCAATCTCACGCGACACAACGCGCACGTTGCATGCACGCTAAAGGCGATTGCACTTTTGCGGCTATGTCCAGACAGTTCATATCGTGCAGTTAAATGGGATGATCGCTTGAATAAAGAGACAGAAAGGAGATAGAAAGAGATATATTATTTATTAAAGAAAAATGGCAGTAAAGATAAAAATAATTTACGTGATAAACTGGAGATTAAGACAGAGGAGAATTTTAACAAGAGGTATAGAATTTTAGAAAGTATAGAATATAATTAAGAAATACGCGGTCGTATCATTGTATTTAAAGAGGTTGTAAGGCAGAATGAATTTGTTAAAAATTCATTGAAACTTGCATTATGTATAAGTTATATTGCATCGGTATGACTAAGGTTTTTCTTAGTTAACATACCCAGACAACATAATGTCTAAAATCGGGACATAAGACGTCTTAAAGATGATTTTTAAGACGTTTTTCAGACGATTTACATCTATAACTGTCTTTAAGGCGTCTTAAAGATTATCTTTAAGACGTCTTATGTCGCGATTTTAGACATTATGTTGTTTGGGTATTTTAAAAATTCCATAATGTTTTACTATATATATATATATAATTCCATAATGTTTTACTATATATATATATATATATATATATATATATATAT